TCACAATGTTGTTAAGCACTGGCTCTATCTCCAAGGCCCCTCATTATTTCTGTGATGTCCAGACCTCAACTGTGTGTTCCAGGAGTACTGGGCTGAGGAGGCAGGGATGGGGGAGGTTAGACAGAGAGCCAGCCCTGGGCCACTGGGAAGGAATGGAGACAGAAATAGTCGGGGAGTGAGGCCTGAGGGCAGGTTGGGGGTGCACAGTTGCAGACGCATTGCCTTCCCCATTCCCAGCGTAGGCCAGCGGCAGCTTGTGTGCCTGGCCCGAGCCCTGCTTCGCAAGAGTCGTATCCTGGTTTTAGACGAGGCCACAGCAGCCATCGACCTGGAGACTGACGACCTCATCCAGGCGACCATCCGAACCCAGTTTGAGACCTGCACGGTGCTGACCATCGCACACCGGCTCAACACCATCATGGACTACACCAGGTGGGGCACTGGAACCCAAGCAGCCCAAGTAGGGAGGGACCTGGTGGGGTCATGTGGGCCATGGGGAGGTGGCAGGCACATATCTGGATAGGCACATACGGGAGTGCATGTGGGATTGTTTAGGGCGGGGGCAGGGGCAGAGCAGCATGGGGTTACCTGGGCACAAAGTGATGCTTTCTGAGACACAGGGGACATTGTGGGGTTACCAACATGTGGGGAAGGGGCAGAAAGGGGCTGCCTAGGCATGGTCCACTTTCCCGCAGCCTCCTATTAATGCTATGAGGTGAGGGGGCCTGGATGCTTTGTGCCAAATCCCGTCACTTCCTGAGCAGCATATCCAGAGTCCCCATGTGGCCATCACTTCATTTGTGCCTGTTCCCACCCTGGGATGTGGGTGTAAAGACTGGGAAGCTACTGAGGAAAGGTGCATGATGCTTGGGTCCCTGCCTAGGGGTGCTGGACCCAGACAGTACCACACGGAGCAGATGCTTTGTGGTGGGAAAGCAGGGACCGAGTCTCAGTCCTGGCTCTGCTGCTGACTGCTGTGTGACCTTGGGCAACCTGCAAAATCTGTCTGAACCTCTCTATCTCAGAGCTGCTGTAAGGAGTCAGTGAAATAAAGTGTTAAAAGTGCAGATGATCCTAGGAAATGTTCCTTTCCTCCCTAGCCCCTTACTGTAATTCTCCCTAGAACCAGCTTCTCCAAGGATTAGGGAAGGAATCCTGCTCTCAGACTTTTATGGTTCCTTATGGCTTTACTTTGGCCTATTCAGCCAAAAGGAAAAATTGTGACCTATTCCCTCGTTGTGCCCAATTGTCATGGTGTGGCACTGGAGGACAAAGGGAGGGGCTGGGTGACTTAGAAGCCTGATGGACGTGAGCTGATGCTGGCCTTCCAGGCTGGCTGCCTTGGAGACACAGAGCTCAGGGTGAGGAAGAGGAGGCAGGAGGCTGCATCAAATCTACGCTGAAGGACCATGGTGGGAGTAGATCACCAACCCTTCATTCACAAAACGAACACCCCAGGGCATGGGAGGCGGGGAGGTTCCCACACAGTTCCCAGGGGCTCAGGAATGAATCCGAGAATGCTGATGCCATTGTCAGTCTGTTCCATCCCTGCCACGACCCCACTCTCCACTCCCATCCACTGGGAGAAGGGAGGGTGGGCAAGAAGGGATAGCCCTGGGTCCAAACAAGAAAAAGCACTAGAGGATCTCTTCCCAGGCCTAACTGAAAATGGTTTCCACCAGCAGCCCTGATGTTCAAAATCGCGAACTGACTTTGGGGTTGGGCATTCATACATTCTAGTGGGGCAAGCAGAAATGAATCAAATAATCACACTACTGAATGTGTAATTAGAGCCTTTAGGAAGGAAGCAGGGGTCCGTGCATGTAGGCCAGAGGAAGCCAATCCATACAGGGCAGCCAGCACACTTTCTCTCTGAAGGAAGGGAAGTACCAGCTAGGCCCTGAAGGATGAGTGAAAGTTGGGGGACAGAGGAGGAGATGGGGTAGGGAGCTGAAAATTTCAGGAAAATGCTGCAGCACATGCAAAGGCCCTGAGGTCAGAGGGCACATTAGACTGGAGTAGAAAGGTTGAAGGGGCAGTAGACCCAAGAGGAGGGGGAGAAAGAGACAGGCCTTACTCCGCTACACTTTAAGGACCTTGGGACAGCATTTAGCCTTTACCCTAAGGGCAATGAGAAGCCACTGAAGGGAGGTGGGCAGTCTCCTGGGCTCCAGTTTGGGCAGTGACCAGGCAGTGATGTCCGCAAACATACCTCTTCCCTGGACACATTTCCGGGAGCTCCAGAGGTAGGGGAACAGTGCGTGCAGTCCAGCCCCTCCTATGGAGGACCATCTCCTGGGTCTTGGGCGAGCCCTTTCCGCGCCTGCCTTACCCTGGGAGCCAGCCTGCTGGCCCTGCACCAGGTGCACCCTGTGTTGAGTTGGTGGGAGGTTCTAATCCCAGGCCTAGGCCCAACTGTATGTGTGGGTGGGGGGCGATCCCATCATCAGCAGCAGCCAGATTTGCAGCCAAAGTCCCAGATTCCAGCATCAGGCCTCACTGCAGCCCAGTTTCCCACCGCGTACCTTTGTGAGTTGGCACAAAGCAGACAGAAGCACACAGGCCCGTGGCTCCTTGCGCAAAGTCCTGTGACCCTGGGGAGGGGAAGGGCTCATTAGGGAAGATTTTCGGAGCCCCAACTAGCAGAGATGAATAGGACCTTGTGTTTGATCCCAGAAACTGCCTCATCTGCCAGGACAGCAAACGGAGTGGCTAAAATAACCAGCTTTGCAAGCGTGCACATGTGGCGTAGCACCGTGTTGAGGGGCTTGACTGAAGTGGGAGGGTTGGCGTCTCGCTGTGTGGCCTCAGCAGTACCCAGAAGGGCAGGGTTGGACCATGTGGCCAAGTCTGGGCTGATGGAGATCTGATCACTTCTTTTCTTTGATCTAGGGTCCTGGTCCTGGACAAAGGGACCGTAGCCGAATTTGATTCTCCAATCAACCTCATTGCAGCCAGAGGCATCTTCTACGGGATGGCCAGAGATGCTGGACTTGCCTGAAATACACTCCTGGGGTTTCCTTCTGGACATTCTTGGTTTTCATCAGGAAGGAAAAGGACACCAAATATGTCTGCAAAATGGACTTGATGGCAAACGCTGGGAGCATTTGTTGGGTTTTTGTCCCCGTAAAGTGCCTTGCAGGATAACCCAAGTGAGGAAGTGAGGCCCAGGAGGTGAACGAGATGCCCAATGTCACAGCTAATTTGTGGCAGAGCCCAGACTAGTCCCTAGGTCTCCTGATTCCCAATCTGGTATTATTTCCACTGTACTGTTTTCAATCATTTCATGGGATGACCTCCCTACTCTCATGATTTTTCATATTTTCTACTCTGAAGTTTTTTGTTTTTTTTTTAATAGAGCTTTTTCCTCCCAGAACAGAAGACTGCCAGGTCAGGCTGTCCCTAGGAACTGAGTTGGGTACTCTCTGGTGCTGGCCTGGATCCATTAAAAATGGAGCACTGATGAAATAAAGCCACATGTCAGCAATACATACACCCCAGTGTAGCCTTTCTCTGTCTATTCACAAGGTGCAGAGGTTAGGACCTCTAGAGGTAGATGGAAGAGGGAGAGGGAGAGGTAGATTTCATACACATCTACATGGCTGGAATTAACTGAAAACTTCAGACCTAAGAGCTTTTGGCTGGAAATATTATCTTCACAGCCAAAATTCACTGGGTAATTGCCAACAGTTCCTGCTCTGCTGCGCAGATACTGTACAAAGGTGAGAAATAAACCCCTGACATCTAACCCGAGGCCTCTTGGGAAAGCCGCTGTGAACACCTCCACACTGATGTCGTCCCTCAGACCTTAGGGCCTGCTTCTCTGGGGGATAAGTGCATGGTGCTTTATGTCCTTGCTCCTTCAGCAGTCTGTTCCAGACAGGTCCCCATAACCAGTGAGGTCTCCAGATCATTCCTCTTCCTCACTCTGGCCGAGCTGAATGTGGGAGCACAGAGCAGCCCAGAGGCTGCCCCCTGTCCTGACAGTCCCAGGCCAGTAAACGAGATGAAGGGGTGAATTAAATTTGCTTTCTTGAGCAAGCCAATGAAGTGTTTATTTCTCTGCAGGTCAGAATTTACCTGGCACAAGGCCTTCTATTTGGAATGGATCTCTTCTCTGTTACCTTGCTAAATTTTCTGGCTTCTCTGACTCTCGCATTTCTTTGACCTTTACTCTTGGTATGATGTGACTGGTTGTGGGTGATGGCTTTTTTTTTTTTTTTCTTTCCTCTAGCCTAAATGGTTTGCAGTAGGTATGGAGATGGCTCCTTTGATCTGGTTTTCCTATAAGCATTGGGCCAGGCTTTGCTGCAGGACTATTTGTTAAAGGTTAATCACATTTTTTTGGCAGGCTGTTTCTGCCCAGGATGTTTATGAGTATATGGAAAAAGACTTCCATCCTTGTGATAAAGCAAGTATGAAGGCACAAATGCCCAAATTATTCTGCCTCTCCTTGGTGCTAAGAAAAGGTCTCTGCTATGCTCCCTGATTTATTAGGCCAATTTGGCATGATGTCTGCTTTGAGTCTCTAGCTGTCCCAAACCAAAAGAAATGCATATTCATTCGGCATCATCAGCTAAAGATCTGAAGGTGTAAGACTGTCTTTCCTCTCCTGTCTTGGGAGTTTGCCTCTGAGCTCACTAAGGCCCTGACAGGTGCTGACAGCCCAAAGGAGAGGCTCAGTTGTGTAAAGTAAATAGGATAATCAAAAAATGTGGTTAATAGAGGATGACCTCCATCTAGCTGGCTCAGCTACTCCGGGGAAATGCAGCTGACTGCTGTGAACTGAGAGGAAAGACACTGCACAAAAGATCTGTCTCCAGGTGCCACTGACGGGTGTGAGCACCGCCACAGCGGCAGGACGGAGGAGGCTCAGGCAGGGAATGGTCCCTTCTATTCCTCCAGAGGGTCTTGTCTCTGGGACTGTCCAACAATCTAAACCTACTATGATTAGAAGTATGTATAGTGCTGTTAGGAGGCCAAAATTAAAGACTACGGGCTCAGTCAGTTAATATTTAATTTTAATAATGCCTGTTATGCTTGAACAGTCAGCAATGCACAAAGAGAAAAATCTTCAGTGAATGTTTACACACAGTGTGAACACATGCTTTAAATATGCAGTGGAGGAGGAGGAGGGGTGAATTCACAGTTAACAAAGCTAAAAAAAAAACCCTTGTTATAAATTACACAAAGCATATAAAAATATTTCTCTGAATGCATAGATTAAGACTTTAAACTCACCTACCAGCAACTGTGCAGTCTTATTCCACTGCCGGACGCAGGAGTCAGTTGACCACAGAGGACTTCATAAAGGAGGAGAGAGAGCAGTGCAAGGCCCCCCTCTCCCTTGAGACTCCCTCGAGGGCCTGGTTCTAAGCCCAGGAAATGCCCTGGAGCTACTCCTCTGTAGGCCACCTCCCAGCCAGGGGCCTCCATGCTTCTAAGAATCTCTAATTGATCTGGATGCTGGAAGAGTTTTAACCCCAGTGATTTAGACATGAATTAATACTGAATTTATTTATCCCAGGATAGAAGTAGCCTTAATTGTATTAGTAAATTTTAACTTTTTTCAAAAGGGGAAAAAAGATTAACATGTCTAGACAGACTAGCTGCTTCTGACGGGCTGAAACACAAGGGAGGTTTCTTCTTTAAAGCACTTCAGAGAAAGGGAGTAATAAGTAACCTTTACTAGGCAAACACTGCGCAAGGGTGAGTAACTCACCATCAGTAACTGGTGTAGTACAATTAAGTCACGCAACAGAGTGATTCCACACCACGAAGTTGGCCTTGAAAACACCTCAACCTCAGCTCAGCATTTAGGCAGCAGCAGGAGGCCATTATCTCAGCACAACATTCTCTTCCACTGACATCTTCTGCACGTTTTCTCTACCGTAGTGTTCCAATAAAATTAACACAGTTAGGAAGTTAAGTTTCTTTGGAAACTCTAGGCACTATGGGGAAAAAGCTTCTTAAGACAGCAGGGATGCTCATCAACAGCTGGCTTCAAACCCCTGCTCTCCTGTTTGTCTAAGTGTGCTCGTTCTTACTTCTAAGGTTAAGCTGTTTATTTCAACAAGACGGTGGCTTTTCTTTTTAACATTAATGACACTGAAGGAAAGGAAAAGAATCCTTAAATGCGTTCTCTAAAAAAATCCTTATGCCATGCTCAAGAGTTTAATCAGGTGTTTGTTTGCTTCCAGAAGGAAGCCTGGTAGACTCACAACTGACTTTGTTAAGTGGGTTGGTGGTGGTCGTGGCAGATCCCTAAGATCAAACAACTTGTTTACAAAAGCAACAGATTTCACAGTTGTGTAAAAATCCTAATAATTTCAAAATAACCTTTGTCTTTGATACAAAAATAAAGATGCTAACTCCTTTAGCTCAGTTTCCCACAATAACCTTTAAAATAGCAACAGATTCAGTCTGAAAAATTGCTTTTCATTTCTGGTGGAAAAATGAAAGTGGAAAACATGGACCGGCAATGTTTGTGCTCTTCTCATTGGGTGCAATTAACAGAAGACGGGAATCATTGCTTCAGTTAAAAAAAAAGCCATTGCTCTTTGAGAAAGCATCAGAGAGCCCTCTAGTGACCACGAAGGGGAGTTAATGCAGAGACAACTGTATGGACAAGGGCAGTCTAGAGACAGAAGCAGTAAGGAGTGTTTACAAAGGAAAAAGTTACGGAGGGAAGCTCTTTTGGTTAACAGCATATTTACAATTAGGTAACTGTAGTCTTAAATACTTTTAACCTGAGTAACATTTATAAATATGTTATGTGAAACCTCACAGCCACAAGTCACACCAAAATTCCTGTGTCCGGTACCTGTGCTTTCCCCAGTTTTCCTCTCTAGTCAGTTCACATTTCAGGAGGGCTGTGAACATGCAACACCAAGAGAAGCGCGTCCCGGCCCTTCAGGTGCACTGTCAACAGGACTGGCTAGAAATAGGCTCTGCTCTCTCTCAGCTTCTACTTAGACAACTCTTAACATTCTGCACATAAAACACTGGACACAGAACTGGCGGCTTCTGCCTCTCCAGACCACTTGTCAGCTGTTCACAGCTTCAAGCAATAGGTTTATTGTGCACCAAGAGGCTTGGAAGAGTGGCACCGCTGCTTGGGGGTCAGGGGCTTCCTACCTTGGCAGAACGATGTTAGTTATACTCAGCCATGGCATCAGGGGCCCTCTGGACATCCAAGGCATTAGATCAATGGCTTGTCCTTGGCCCAGAGATGATGCACACTGTCACAATACTCAGTGATAAAGTCCCTGCTGCATCAGTAAGTCAGTTTTGAAGCTCTCCTGTTGTAGCAAGGCCTTTCAGTCAGTGTGGATGCAGCATTTCTGAACAGAAAATTATTTTCACTTATCATCAGAACCAGTTCCAGTTCTTGGAAATCTTGGAGTCGAGCAACATCTTTGTCCTAAAACAAAAATAGGTTAAACAGATTGCAAAGAGCCACTTGTCTCTAAGTGTTTGGTATGTGGTGTTGATACCAGTATCTTGGCTCATTTTACAGCCTGGAAGGAAAAAAAAAATTCCCTGTGGCAGGCTGTCAGTGATAGTGCACAAAAGCCCCCAGGAGCATAAATTGGGTTGGAATAGTAGAAGCCCTTAACAGCAGTTTGCTACAAGATGAGTAAATGTCGAAGGGAGAGGCAATGTACGATGTTTCCCTCAGGTGCCCTGAGAAGCCAGAAGCCTGATGTTCAAATAACCCAGAGATGCTGGGAGGACCACAGATGTATTTGTGTGGATTTGCCCTATAATTTAGCCTGGTTCTTATGTTATAAAACACAAGGCACATCTGATAGCACACTAAGGTAACCCTTACAGATCACTACTAAAACAACCAAAAATAGGTACATGCAAATGGAAATTCAGAATGTTTTCCCTAGCATCCTACAACTTTCGGAAATGTCAGTGTCTCTACAGGCCCTGTGGAGGGAAAGAAAGCTCAGTGATTACATTTGGAAAACTGCCCTTTGCTCCTTTTCTATTCTCTTTTCATTTATTCAACTATGACTCATATAACCAGGGAGGAAGCTGGGTATTTTCCAAATGGAAAAAGCAACCACTCATGCTTAACAGATCTTTCTTATCTTTCTTACCTTTCTTACCAGAGTATTGGGTAACTTTCTGATCTTCTCCACTTGATCAGGATTAACACCCAGCTCACAGCAACTCACTCTGAGCAATTCTTGGTAGGTGAGCTCCTGTCGGTCCAGTTCAATTTCAATGAAATCATTTTCTCGAAGAGATGGGTTCTGAATCCTCACCTTGAGTACTAGCTCTAGAAAAAAAGGGGGGGGGGATGTTAATAATTATGGCAAGTCAGCCGATGTGATTTCAGATCTTTTCCAGAAGATGGTTACCCTTAATCATGCTCCGTGCTGAAGGCTTGGGCCGCCCAATGAGAAAACCAAGCACCATCAGCAAAGTAGGCTCAGGCCCAATTTTGTCTCTGCTGTTGCAGTTTTCTGCACTGTCTTCCCTATACCTAAGACTGTGCTTCACAGAGTAAAGGGGGTGTGGGTGGTAAACGGATGGATGACAACCCTAGCTGTACAGAGCGAGAATTACTTCTGCTGCTGAAGCTAAGTGGGTAAAGGCTTGAGAATGGGTTCAGGTAATGACACATAAGTAGGAGAAGGGGAAAAGAGGTGAAAGGCATTGCCGTGGCCAAGAGACGGTACAAGAGTTACTCTAAAGAGACTGAACAATTGTGGATCTAAAGATATTTATGACATTAAAATCCTTGCAATAAAGACAGCAAAAGAGCAAAAAGATAAACTACTAATAAAAACCAAAGTCTAACTATGATTTGAAAGCAGTGTACCTTAACAAGGGAGGACTCTTGTCTTTTGGAGTAAATAAACACCGCTATTCGTGGGTCTGGGATCTAAGCAGATCCTAAATTCCGCCCCTAAATTCTGAACCTGGCTGCCAAGGAGGCCCAAGCCAAGCACCCACGTGCATTTGGTGGCTCTGCTTTGCTCCTTATATATGAATCCCTCACAGTATCCCTAGGCTGCTGTTATCGGCACCTAACGTTCCTCAAAAACAGAAAGAGGCAGTTACTTATGTGGAAAAAGAAAAGGTGAGACTAGACTGTACCCTGTGCTGCTGTTTGACTGGAATTGGAGGTATCAGGATAAACTTGTGGTTTTTAATATTTGCTAAAATATCTAGATAAACAGATATAGAAATATGAGGGGAAAGTATATATGAGTGTTTATGTGTGCTTGTTTACTTGACTTTTTTTTTTAAACTTCACTAATTCTCTCAGTTCAGCTTGAAGCTTGATATCCAGGAAGCATCTGTTCATTTTCTACTTTTCATCTAAAATATTGATGCACAGTTTGTTCCTTTTGTCATAAATTGTGGGAACTGCTTTCAGCTCTATATTTTCTGTGACCTTTTGAATCTTGAATGATTGTGGTACAAATGGGTATATCCTAGCTCTATCATGTACTAGATGTGCAATTCTTGGCAAATTACCTACCTCTTTGTGCCTAAGTTTCTCCATTTCTAAAATGTACATAATAATAATACCCAGTTTATGAGTTCGTCGTGACATTTAAATCAGGGCTTAGAATGCTCTGAAGTTATGTGACTAGGTATCTACATGTTTAGTTTATAACTATAGTATCTTCCTGGTGAATCTTTCCTTTTATCATTCAATTGCTCTTTACTGTTTGCTTGCTTTTTTCTTTCTTTCCTAACTCTGACCTCTGACTGAGCCTAAAAGAAATGATACAGTAGCAGCAATAAGCACACCTAGGGTCTATATTCTGATTTCTGAACACCATTCTCCGCTGGAAAGAACCAGGAGAAATGGCTGATTTCAAGGCTGGGGTTGGGGAAGTTACACTAGGAGCCCAAAACCTCTGGCTGTATCACAAAGGAAGTGCTCCAAGAATGATGGACATGTCCAAGGAACACAAGAACTAGCTTGAAGGGGCTCGCTCTGGATAAATCTAGCATAATTTGATCAAATTATCACTCAATGAATAAAAGAAGAATTTTTTATGAGTTCATACTAATGTAAATGGAGAAGGGAAAGCCCTTCTTTGCAGAAGAATACCAACTAATAAATAGAGAAAACAATAGAAAATCATATTCTACAAAATAACTGTCCTGAACTCTTTAAAAATCTGAGGTCCAAAATGATAGCTAAAGGCTGAGGAAATGCTTCAGATTGAAGGAGACAATAACAACATAAGTAAATGATCCTGGGCAGGGGAGGGGGCAGGAGAGGAAGGAGTTAAGACAGCCACAGAGGGCATCACTGAGACAAATGACAAAATTTAAACATGGACAATGGATTAGAGAAGAGCATCATATCAAGGCTGTATTTCCTAAATTTGATCACTGTTCTGTGACTGTGTAAGAGACTATCCTTGTTCTTAGGAAATACACTTAAGTAGTTCAGGGTAAAAAAGCAAAAGGTAAAACAACTTGTGAATCTGAGTAAACACAATCATTATACTAGTCTTGCAACTTTTCTGTAAGTTTGTAATTATACTAAAAATAAATAAATACTACTCCTAATTCTCAAAAAACCAGGAAGAAAAGCACTAGACCTCTGAACACCATCTGCTCTGTGGCAGAGGCTGTATGCTGCTGAGAGGTTACCTTGCATATTGAATGGAAATGCGCCGGTGAAGAAAAACGGCTGGAACGCTGGCGCTGGTCCTGCATACGTCCCATTTTGAGGGTCCAGAGACACTGGTGGCTTGGACGGGACGGAAGAGAACAGGGAGCGACTCTGACTCACTGGTGGCTGACAAACAGGACCGGGTTTTGTGCTTTCTGGTGTTCTGAGAATGGCAGAGGGGGCAGACACATCCCCGTTCTGAACCAGTGCCAAAGAGGTGTGGTCCCGTGGAAAGGCCCCAAGCAGGGGAGGGTCCCCAGGGGGCAGCAACGGAGGTGAGCCAACAGCAGGGGGTGATGCAGGAGGTGTGGAGGGGCCCCCATTCTGCAGCTGGGCTGAATCCTCTGCCACAGGGGTATAGATAAAAGGGAAGGCTGGGTTGGCCAAATAGTTGGGAACAAAAGGTAGCTCTGACTCCTTCTTCAGCTGCGGGAGGTCATCGCTGTCATCATCATCATCTTCCACTTGAAAAGAAGAAAATGCAGGACATTTACATAGGCCTTTAAAAGTTACCAAGTAAAGAGTATCTTGGGAAAGCTAGTGTCCTTTGCTGTATGACAAATATTTTGGTCAGTGTTCACTGCAGGTTTGTCATTACTATTTTTATCACCTTAAAGTTTACAGTAAAAAAAAAAAAGCCTTATAATGCTTACTTTTCCAGAAGCAACATGGAATTATTATCTTGGCACAGTTTAATATCATCTTTGCTCTTAGGAACAGAGTGGCTGTTCGGCATCAAGAATATAGCCAATGATACCACAAGACTTAAATTAGTTTGACAAAATCAAAAGTTGCCCCCCCCAAACACAGACTCACCTCCCATAATCTTCCTGATTTCACTCCTTGATGTTAATTGAACTGGCATTTCTCCCTTTGTGGTAAGAATCTCTTTGTCAGCTCCTGATTTTAACAAGTAAGAGACCACCTGACCATGATTGCGTTTACATGCCCAGTGTAAACAGGTCCTGTCCCAAAGAAAAGAAAAAAAGAGTGGTTTTAAAAGAGAAGAGGTGATGTGGGATTTAAAATTCTACACATTAGTAAATAAACATATGCAAGCCTGACAGAGTTCAACTAGAACCAGAAATCAAGCTGGTAATCTTCTCTTTTCAGAAAGCAGATGATCAAAATATTTAATATGCTTAAAATTTATTTTTAAATTTCACTTCTTGGGAAAAGCTAATTTATCCTAGAAGCTTTAATTTGAATGGCATCCAGAAGGCTGGCTGGCTGGCTAACTCTAATGATATTGTTGAGTGCTGACTCTTAACAGCATCGCTCATCAGATTGTCCTAGTCTCTTTAAAATATATTTTTGCATCACCACATTCCTTTCAAGGGACTATGGAAACTTGCTTCATATGCACCAAATGTCACTTGAAGATTAAATATTATCAAGCTAATAACCATCTCTCGTTTGAAGCCTACTCTGCCACTAAAATCATTACTAGAGCAAATTCCTGTCTGAATCTGTTACTCACTCTTCCTCTTTTCCTTCCTTCACACACACAAAGGATTTCCAAATTTCCATTTTTAAAAGTTCACTTCCCTAGTTCTCTCCAGAAAGCTACAAAACATACCCTCATCTGTTTAAACACAAGGCATTGCACATATACATCAATTCCTAAAGCACTTGAAATATGTACATCAACAGCCAAAATTTTTGAGAACTGTCTTCAAGTATTCAACTCATTTAAGTAAAACTAATTATTTCATATTGTACACATAGGAGGAGATTATGCATACTCTGAAGGACTATTATTTTAACACTGCCTAGAAATATAATTAGCATGCTGGCCAAAACTCCATCTTAATAGAAATAAAAGGATTCAGAGCTATTAAACGCATCCCCAGTTGCCACAGCTGAATGATATTATGGGAGGAAAATACTTTTCTCCCCTCTGTTTTGAAATGTCCTCATTCACCAACTCTCTAATTGAACTGAGATAAATATCTTCAGAGTTTATAGACAAATATAAACACGGTAAAGAAAAGAACGTATGTTCAATAGTGAGGGTTACGTTAGGTCACTAACTTGAGAAAAGTTTAACTATCGAAGAAGTTCATTTGGTTCTAGAACAAGCTGATTTGTCCTGGCTATCCTAGCATTGACGATTTACAGAAAGCCACTTGTCTGGCTGGCTGGGAGCAACTCCAGTGATGTTTCAGTGACATGCCACACTATTATTCATTAGAATTAGATTGTCCAGGTGCCTTTAAAGTGTACTCTATGATGAAAAGAATGCTACTTTGGGGAAAATAAGAGTCTTGATCTAGGCTTCTAAAGTATAAGCTCCATGAAGACAAGGAAGTGTCTGCTTGGACAGACGGGTATTTAATTAATATTTGCCAAATGAGTGAACCGAGGACGAGGTGGACACTGGTTGGAGTAGGATCCCACACAACTTTGATCCTGGGCAAACTGCAGCTGACAGTGTGTTTATGTGTGGATGTCTGCGTAAGTTTTAAAAATGAATAATTATAATGACAAGTGAGCACTCAAAAATGCACAGAACATGATGAGAAAAATATGTTCTCTTTTGGAAAGTACTCACTTGCTAGTAGTAAATCACTTGTTCACGACAAGCTTGAGAGTAAAGGAAGTAATACACTGCCAGTGGATCTGAGACACCCCAGGACCAACCAACTAGCTAAAGCGTCACCATGTAAAGTGGAGTGAAGTCAACACAGCATGTTCCCTACAGCCCTGCACCGAGTGACTATCATTTACAGTCCAGACCTGGGTGGCTCTGGGCAGCCATAACTCATAGGCATTGTAGTCAGGATATATCTTCAACTTCTTCATAATTTCATTATATTTGTTCCTTAAAGCCAAGGGGTATGCATGACACTTGAATTACAATTGATGTGGGAGCGCTATCTTTGAACTTCGACTCTTTAATTTTGCAGTCAGAATATCCTATCAGTGTTGGGAAGCATTTCAGACCAGACCACCATTTATTGGGGCTGAAACTGTAGTTACTAAGCAACTAAGAATTCAAAGCAGTAACCTTTCTGCTTTTCTATGCTACAGACTAAGTTTTTTTAGGGTAACCTTTATATTTCATTACCCAGCACACTCCTTAATAAGAAAATAATAATTAACACAGATACAATGCTTTACATGCTGGACTTCGTTCTAAAGGCTTTACACATATTAACTCCTTTAATCCTCTAAACAGCCTGTGAGGTAAGTACTATTATCAATATTCCTCAATTTTACAGATGAGGAGACTGAGACAGTCAGCAAATAAGCAAAACGAACAGTATGCTATGTAGTGGTTTAGTTACAGGGACAAAATAAAGCAAGGGAAGGAATTAGGGAATGCCAGAGATGGGGGAGGGGCGTGGTGCAATTTTTAAATCGAGGGCCAAGGAAAGGCTCGCCAAGGTGACATGTAAGTTAAGACCTGAAGGACGTGAGGGAGCAAAAGCATTTTACATCAAGGGAAGAGGCAGCACAAAGGCCTTGAGTTGACACTGCCTGGTGTTTTCAGGAAAAGGAGGCCAGGGGAACAGAATGAAGGGAGCAAAGGGGCAAATCCGGACATGAAGCATAGAGGTAAGGAGGGAGGATGGGGGGCAGGGTATAGAAACTGTAGGACCCTGTGGGCTTTTACTCATTGTGAGATAGGAGCCATTTGAAGGGTTTTGATTGGAGTGAAATGATCTGACTTATGTTTTAAGTCAAGAGCCTTCTGGTTACCTTGTTGAGAAAAGACAGTAGGGTAGCGGGTAGAAGCAAAGGGACTAGTCAGGAGGCTACTGCCTTAATCCAGGTGACAATGATGGTGGCTTTGCACCAGAGGTATAGTGGTAGAGCTGGTGAGAAGCAGTCAGATTCTCACTATATCGCTGAAGGTGGAAATGGCAGGATTAGCAGCCTGACTGGATACGGGGTGTGAGCCAAAGACAGGAGGCAAGGAGGGCACCAAAGATTCTGGCCTGAGCACCTCAGATACCAAGATAAGGACTCAGGAGCAGGCTGGGGACAGTCAGGGGTATAAGGGAGGCCAGACAATCAACCCTGGACATGTTGAATTTAAAGTCCTATTAGACATCTTCCCCAATTAAATCTATGATAGCCTCTTCATAGTTCAACAAACTTATATTTACTGAGCACCTACTATGTGGTTAAGAAAGTAGGGTCTGCAGTCAGACGCTGGGTTTCTTTCCCAGCTCTATTAGTTACTGTAAATTCTGTGACCTTGGGGAAATTAATCTTTCTGGGCCTCAGTTTCCTCAGCTGCAAAATGGAGAGAATAACAATAGCTATGTCCCTGAGTAATTGTGAATGAAATAATACATGTAAAGCACTTTGAACCTCTTCGCGAGCAAGCTCAATAAATGTTAGCTATTTATACTATGCTTTATCTCCTTAGATGCCTACAACATTCTTCTGGAATAACTGGAAATGAAGTGACTGGGGCATGGTCATACTGCTAAGCAGGAATGGAGAAGAACCTGCAGGCTCTTTCTTCTACACAACACTGCCTCCCAGGGCCAAAACAACGATTCACAACTTGTGAACCACAGAGCAATGCCAGAAATTGTACACACAGAAAAATAAGCTAGTTGGCAAACACTTTTAAACAAAACAAAAAGTCAGTTTCTACTGTTTCCTGGCTTTCTGGACAGCTACCCAGGCTGTTTTGTTTAGGGTAAGGAGGTAGGCAGATTTGTGAGAAAGTCAGGACCCTGTGATTTTGGTCCTAGCTATTATACTAATAGTTGTGTGACCTACAGCAAGTTATTCTTGGTTGGGACAGTGGTTGAATCCATCTCCAGTGTCCCTTTTAGTTTCAAAATGTATTATTCCACTTCAAAAAATAAAACATTTGCAAACTCCCCTTAACTCTTAACTAGCAAAATAGGCTGGTTAAGCATCACCTTGATCCAATAAAAAATTAAAATTTAAATGTGAAGAGAGCAGAACAATACCACATTCAGTAACTTAACACTAAAAACGTAACCACCAGCACATCTTAAAATGAGACTCCTTATTTAGTTGATAAGGACTCAATTCCAGGCAGGCAACTGAAGCCTTAGATAACGTTCCATATTTGAAATTGTTACAAGAAAACACTCTATGGGACAAACGAATGAGTCTTCCTGCAACAGGCAGCTGCAGGTAGCAGCAAATCACTGCTACAGTGAGGCAACAGAGAAGAATAGGGATGCAAGTGATTTTTTTCCCGCTAGTCTTGGGAAAAGAAATCGTGCTAGTTTATAGGATTAATATTTGCTCAGTTGTTTACGTTTTTTGCTCTGCACAGATGTGTTCAGAAGCACCAATGGCAAAATAATTCAACACTCCAACGGGGGTGAGCTCCGTATTAAGATGAGAATCGTACCCAGCACCATTCTGGCCACTTTACTGAGGTGGCCGGGGGGCGCCAGGGTTCTAGTGGGCGCTGCGGGAAGAGGACCACGTGGGCTGGGATTTGGGCAGGACGCGCAGCGGACTACCCGGGGCGGGGGTGGGGGACCAGGGCTGGCCT